CCCATACAGATAGATATTTAAACGGTGATTCTCACCACCATCCTTCACAGTTAGCTACCGTGGGTAAATCTTTGTTTCAGAGAGCACGAGGGATCTGTGACAGTAAACACCTGGCTACCGAGCTCCACCATGTCAAGCAAGTTTTGCATGACAACAAGCTTCGAGTCCCGCGCCTACGTCACAGTGAACGAGTGAAGCCGGCCACAGTCGAGCGTGTACCTGCTGTACTGCCATATGTTAGAGGAGTCACTGACAAGATTGGCTACATCTTGAAGCGCGCTTCCATCAAAACATACTTCAAGCCACTGAAGAAAATTGGTCAGTTTTTACCATCAGTCAAGTGTAATGTCCCTCTGCAAGATGCAGGAGTGTATAAGCTTGATTGTGAATGTGGTCTCTCCTACATAGGACAAACTAAAAGATCAATAAAAACCCGCGTTAAAGAACATATAGCTGATGTGAAGAAACGACGCTCCGGGAGGTCTGCAGTCTGTGAACACGTACAGGATCGCCCCCGTCACTACATCAGATTTGATAGACCGCAAATCCTCGCTAAAGAATACCGATTCCTTCCAAGGATGATTCGCGAGGCTATTGAAATCAAAACATCCTAATTTCAATAGAGAAGATGGCTGGGTGCTACCATCTGCTTGGGATCCTATAATAAATAAAATTAAATCCCAACCCAAGTATACAAGTACAAGACTTCAAGATACCATAAGTTCATACTGTATAGATCGGAACAAAAGTTAAATTTTAATCTATGGTAACCGCGGTTAACTATGACATATGGACGTTGAACATCTCAGTCCCGCCCGTGACCATGAGTGCTATAAAGCGTTCGAAACGTCGGGTATTTAAAAAGTTAAATATACGCGATAAATTCCGTAAAAACTAGTATTATTTCAATAAAATAATTCCGTTAGGATTGTTAACGTTAGAATTCCAGCTAACGTGTTTACTATTTAGGTTTATTTTTTCGATTCGATTAATACGCTAGGGTCTAGGTTTCATAGAGCCGATATGTCGGAATCTAATATACTTTTTAAGGGAGACAGGTATGCTGATGCAATTATTATTGGCGGATGGCCCGTAAGTGCTATCCTACAGACCGGTGCTTCTAAGTTCGTAAGCTGCGGAGTATCGATCGGTACACATTAAAAGGACATTTTGTAGTAGATCAAGGTGCCGCCTTTAGGTCCGGTCAGCCTATCATTTCTTACTAAGGTATAATTGGCTATTTTGGGATCGCTCAAACTAGGTTTCAAGACGGTCTCTTGCACTAGCATGATGTCGATATCATGGTCGCGTAAAAAATATATGATCTCTTCCTTTTGATCTCTGATACCGTTTGCATTAAAGAACGCGTAAAAACATAATATCACTATTATGTAAAAAATTCTTACAGTCATAAACCTTAAAACATACAGTCTTAACAATACAGCTTTCATTGCATTTTTATGTATTTAATTTAAAAAAAACATAAATAGGATTGGACAGTGTATGTTCTAAACCACGTTCTCACAGAATACCGGCTATGGTTAACGGCAGCAAATGAAGACCCTTTTATTGGTAAGTAATTCTGTTTTAGTCCTCAAGGCACCATAAATGACTGTACATTACCATTTGCCCACGTTTTAATCCAGGACATAGTCTCTATTAATTTCATACAAATCTGTTAACCGTTAAGCTTAATAAAGTCAAGGAAATTTTAAACAAACTTAAACTCATAATATGATGTGATATTAGTATAGATTAAAATGTACATAAATAATACATAAACACTCACGCCTGTCACCCAGAGGGAAGGCAGGGACTACAGACTTCGATTTAGCACGATGCTGAGATACCTCTCTCGCGTTTTCCACATCCATCTACGCATGCATGCTCGTCGGTTAAGAGCAGTCTTAATTTGGCCCATTTTAATATATCGCCAATTTGGTCGACAAACTTTCGCCTAGGACGTCCCTTTTGGACTTTTCCAATCACTTCTTCAACATATATTTGCTTTGTCAGTCTTTCCTCATTCATTCTTTCTACATGACCAAACCACCGAAGCATTCTTTTCTTAATCCTGCAAACCACACTCTTCTTTTATCACACAGTTTCTCACCCTGTCACTCAGATTCAGCCCTAACATACTCCTTAGCGACTGCTTTTCTACTGCATTTATTCTACTCTCGTGCTTCTTCTGCCACACCCAACTTTCACTACCATACGTTAAAGTAGGGACTAATACAGCATTGTGAATTGCCATACGTGCCTTTTTTGACACATTCTGACTTTTCACAATATAGTGTAGGGCCCCATTTACTTTATTTCCTGCATTCACTCGTCGTTCAATATCCTTATCATATCTACCATCCCTGCTGAATACACATGCCAAATAAAAAAAAGATTAAAATGTAACTTAATATAATATTTAATATAATCTAACCAGGAAACATACAAATGTACCTAAGAATTTATAAAACACCTAAATCAGATAAGAGGTTTTCACGATACGACCACAAAATAAAACGCAGAATGGCAGAGAAACGTAAAAATGTAGGGAAATACTTACTTCTACTTAGAAGGCTAAACTATGTAAGAATACATCCTATCATACATTTTATACATAATTATTTATATAACAGGTGTTCTCATTCGCTATGTATATAAATTGATGTAAATATAAATTGAATTCGAAAAGATCCTCTATACCATTAAAATGCAACATTATATATTTCAAATGTAAATTTCTCTTACGTAAACGTACCCGTTCCCGAGCTCTTCAGTAATGTCAAAAGGTTGCGAGTAACTTTTATTTGTATTCAACAATCCACTTAACTCCTTCGCTTCTCAGTCACCCATGCAGATAGTTCAAAAGTGTGTAAAATTATTTGTGATGTGTATAATACAACCACTGACAGCGATAATATTAAAAATTGCAGCTTTCTTTTTACAAAAAATGAGAAAAAATAACTGCTCGTTTACTTAATAGAAGAACGCTGCAGCTATATTCCTCACAAAATACCAGCTTGAAATAGCAGCTTAATGCTCCTGTGATTTGTGTGGACCGATATCTATTATTATTAGTAATTATTATTAAACTCAGTTTAATAATTATCTCAGTTTAATAATAATTACTAATTATAATAGGTATCCGTCCACACAAAGCACAGGAGCATTAAGCTGCTATTTTAAGCTGGTATTTTGTGAGGAATATAGCTGCAGCGTTCTTCCATCTTAGTCTTCAAGGGTGACAACTCATTCTGACATTTGATTCTTAATCGTGAAGGGCCGCTGTTACAGGCTTTGAGGCATTCCCTCTTAAGTCTCAAGGGCATTAGTCATTTTTAATTTGAACTTATTTACAGTCAAACATAGACTTCGGTGGCCACTTACCATCAGTTGGACGGTTAGCTTGTTTACTACCTTTAAAGTTACAGAAGCCAGTCTCCACCTCTTTGTTGACATACTATGCATTCTAGTTCAGTTGTTTGCATCGACGATCTTCATGCATACAGCAAAAGAGTGAAATAATATAGTATCATCTGTCTTTCCATCCGATTTTCGTGGCCGTGTCTTCAAGGTAAGACCTAAGCTTTTTGTTTAGCTAAGTCAGTATGCTCTACCATCTACGGCTGCATCACCACTTACCATCAGATTGGATATTAGACAAACACTGACCTATAATTTATAATTGTTAAAAACGAATAAAGTCGCTAGTTATAGTTCAAATGATACACTGGAAGAAAAACTTATCGTAAGCGACATTATACTCAGAAGAACCTAATGGAAAAATGTGATCGAACGTCGTAAGAAAGCAAATAAAGTTTAATTCAAGCTTTTCGTGAAGAACTCGCAATTGGACACTTTTAAATAATTTACACGAATCAAAGTGTTTTGTACTTAACATAAGTGAGATAAAGAAAGGAACACAGAGCTTTTGTGATTTCAAACATTATTGTATAGTTTGAGATTATACACGCTTACAATAAAATAGATTTCGAGAAGTCACTGACATGATGTCACTAAGGCTTAGCACAGCATAGCGTTTTGCTTAAATTTATTTCATTTCACCATGGATTTCTGGCGAGCAGCATGTGTTGTAGCTTTGATATTAAAATTGAAAAATAGAAAACGTAAACAACGCCGCCGCCATAGGCACTGGGTACATCCACTAACTGATCAAAGACATTTGAAAGGATACTTTTGCAAAATGTACAACAACGTGCGTCAACATCCCGATAAGTTTTTTAATTACTACAGAATGTCGATTGGCACTTTTGATAAATTATTACAAGACGTGGGCCAGTATCTATAATTTGAAGACACTTCATTTCGTAATGCAATATTACACGAAGAGCGACTTTCAGTTACGTTAAGGTAAGAAAACAATTTTAATTTTTTTAAAGCTTTATTTCGCAACAAGTAAATAAAAAAATAATTATGTAACCAACTTTTTTAGTTACTCTTCGGCATGGTCTTGGTCTTGTAACTGGTTTAAAAATTGTGTCAAATAGTCGGCAGTCTCATTGTCTGGTTTCAAAATTTGTTGGTCGATAATTTGTATCTGATTTTGCGGCATCGTTGGATGTATAGCCGGTGCTTGCTGAATTGAAGTTGATGACTGTGAAGATGGGCTTGGTGGAGGCATTGTTGGTGATGGTGATTGAATGGAATATATTGTATCCATCGATGAGGATTGCGGAGAATACTGATACTGATAGGGGGTTTGTGGCTGGGTATATCTTTGATGATACAATGGTGAACTAGTTATTTTTGGTCCTCGAAATTGAGCTGGTTGGTTGATAACGTGTTGTAATGGTTGCGGAGATGGATGAGTACGTGCTTTTTTAAGACATTAAGTTTTTCAATCTTAGCATAATGTTTTTGGTCTTCATTTAATCTACGTAACATGGGAACTAACATAAGCGCGAAGTTTTTTCTTCGTCCTCTTCTTCCTGTGCTTGTTTGTCTTTTAATATATCAAGTAATTGTTCGTCTATTTCTGTTTAATTGTTGTTGTCTCGAGAACAGTTCTTCTTTCGCAGTGGTGTTCTATTGTTATTAGTTAGTTGTGAATTCTGAGCTGTAGTAGACAATGTTATACCCTGAGTAGAAAAATCCGATGATGTATTTGCATCCTGAGTAGAATTAGGCGATGATAGATTACCGCTCGTTTCTCGTTTCTGCATGGAAGGAATTAGGAAAAGCATTGAATCGAAATGAATATATTTATTTTTCTTTGAAGGAGCAGCTTGTCCAGATTTGCCTTGTTGTGCTGCCAATTCTTTAGCGAAACAATCTTTCATGTTTTTCTATTTTTTTGTATGAAGTTCCCTGAAACCAAGTAAACAAAATGAAAATCTTGTTCACAGATACCTTGCTACGGGAAATAGCATAAAGTCGTTGTATTTTGAATACCCGATTGGCGTTACGACTATTAGTGAAATTATCCATCATACGTGCAAGCAGTTGTGGTTATATTTGCAGCCTACTTATTTGAAAGAAATGACAAAAGAAGGCTGGTTAAACATAGCACGAGAGTTTTTCATACAAACAAACTTTCCAAATTGTGTTGGCGCGATTGCCGGCAAGCACATAAGAATCGAAAGACCCGATTATACCGGCTCAGAGTAATTCAATTATAAGAAGTTTTATTCGATTATTCTGCTTGCTGTTGACGATGCTAACTATAGCTTCGTAGCTATTGACGTGGGTGCCTACGGATCCAATAGTGACGCCAGCATATTCCGAAATTCAAATTTTGGTAAAAGACCTTTAACAAACCAATTGGATTTACCACCATGCTCAGTTCCTCAACTGAAATTCTGTACAAATCGAAACAGAAGTTGAACCGCGACATCTTCCTGATAACAAAACAATACAAAATTATAAAAAAGCTGCGGTTGCTAACCCGTCGGCCAAGCGTGGCAATAATGGCAGAATATATTATGAGGCAATCTAAGAAAGACGCCTATGCTAATTGAATCCCTTGTTGGAATAAATGAAAAAAAAATACACAAAAAAATATTCAATGAAATTTTACATGGCAATACATGAATCTTCAACAGGGGATGAAGCTTTTCCACTTTTAAAACATTTGATGAGACCATATCCAAGCAGAAACATATCTATTAAAGTAAAGATTTATAACACTTTCGTGTGCCAGAAAAACAGTTGAATGTACATTTGGCATTATGGCCAATAAATGGCGAATTTTTCACAGGCCGTTAGATACAAAACTTAAACTTTGCGATTACATAGTCAAAGCGTGCTGCATATTGCACAACTTCGTACAAAAATACGATGGCAAGGAGTTACCAGAAAATTTGGGCCTATGTGACCAATCGGAACCAAGAAGCTTGCACCCAACTCGACTTCGTCCTAGTAGTGACGTCATGTAAACCAGAAATTTATTTGCCGACTACTTTACAGTCTCGATCTGGTACCTTAAATTGGCAGTAAGATGCTATTAACTAACTTTTTTATAATAAAATTAAGCACAACACATACCTTTGTTTTTCTTTTCTGTCTGCCAAAGCCGGGCTTTAATATTTCTGTCTCTGTATTGATTTAACGATTTGTCATATAATGCCGGCCTTTTTCCCACTTCTATAATAATGTTTTTGATACAATGTAGTAGTCTACATTCGATATTTCTGAGTTGGACGACATGACTCTGCAAAAAAGTCTATCCTCCGCACTCGCACAGTCGAGACCATAGATTACTGTATATATACTATGTAGAGACTGAACAAAAACCGAATGAGATTAACCGCCATGCGTGCGTCACAGTACCTACTGTTCAATTTCAACCCGGTAAGTAATTTTATCATATACAGTATTCCAACTTCATACAAACGGACGAAGCGAGAGCTATGCCTACGCGCCTCGATCTCGACATGCGCTGCGGCATGTAGATAGTCGGTGACTGTGCCACAGTGATGATTTTGTGGAAGGTACGTATAAAAAAATCGTAAATTATATTTTGTCAAAGTCACCACTTTTTATACACATATTATATCCATGTTTAAGAATAAAAAAAATTATGGGATAGGGTGACAAACGAGCACACAGTCCACCTGATGGTAAGTGGTTGCTGTGGTCCATAGATAATTATATTTTTACCCGATTAAGTGAAAATTTTTACTCGATTAAGTGTAATATGAAAAATAATAGAAATACCCGACGAAAATATTATAAAAATAAAGATAAATGAAATTTATAAAATAATTCGAAAATTGGTTACAAAATTGTCTTAAGTCATGGAATCGTGTTCATTATAAAGTAGTTCGTGTATAAAAGAAAATTGTCTTAAGTCGTGGAGGGAGTTCGTGTATAAAAGAAAATTATCTTAAGTTATGGAGGGTGTTCGTGTATAGATGTCAGCATGGAGAAGAGGATGTCGTCATCATCTGCGTTGGAAGCATTTGAAATGTAAACAAGCACTAGCACTGTAACTTTCTGTTCATATATCCCTCTTCTTATGTCATCAGTGACCTAATAGTGTTGCTGTGACCAGATCGAAACTGATTGAAAAACCATCAATAGGTTAAGTTTTTTATGAAAATAGAAATTTGCTTATATACACAGGCTTCAAGAACTTTGGACAGGAATGGGAGAATAGAGATTGGTCGATAGTGAGAGGGTCGTGCAGGATTAGGAATTTCGGGAAGCGATCGAACATAAGCTTGTTTCCACAAAGTTGAGTATTGACCTGAGCCTAAAAAGTAATTTACAATATGTGTTATTGTTGGGAGAAGGAACTTCAGTAACATATTCACTTTAGTCTTGCTAATCTCATGACAACCCATAGCTTTAGAGTTATTAGATGAAAACGCCTTAGCAACATGATCTTGGGTTACGAGAGAGAAATACGGGGAGCGTCACCAACATCCTTAATTTGATCAATGTTTAATTGGGAAAAATTGCATAAATGCAGAATAGAGGGTTTGTGTTTTGGAGGTTTTAATTCAAAAGAAAAATAAATTAAGTCATCACGTGAAAAACACTGGGTGGAAAGTTGCCCATGCTTATTCACGTGGTTGCGAGAAGAGGTAGTAATAAGGTCAATCCATAAATCATCATTTTTCAGAACTGCGACCCTGCGCCGCAACCAAATCATCCGCCACTGCGCTACCGAGCCGTTAACACACAAACAATTTATCAAGATGTTTCCTTTTACCGCCGAGTGCGTGACGATTCTACGCTTAAATTATCATTAACACTGTCAGTGGCGTCGGCGTCGTCAGATCGCTCGAATGATGTGAAATTTACGGCAAGCAGCACGGTTATCCTTAGCTACCACGTTTTTATACGTAGTAGAATCACGCTACAGATATATTATAGTACGAATAGGTTGGCTTGACACGGAAAGGACTACGCTCTTACAATACCAGCGTAACCAGAATAACAGCGTAAAATAGCAACTCCATGCTGCTGTGTCTCGTCGTAGAAACGGGGCATGATTAGTCCTCAGAAAGCCAGCGCATCAGCATTGCGATTCTTAACTGGAGATAAATGCAGATGTCTATGGGCCACATCATCCACGAGCCATCAGGTGGACAGAGTGCTCGTCTGTCCCTTATACTATATTTTTATTTAATCGAAGAATTTTAAAATGTATTAAAATATTTTACATATACGTAAGCAAACAGTAGAATAAAGCTGGTAGTAATAGCTCTATATGTTATGTAATGTTCGTTTTGATTCATTAACACGGTCATGTATTTTATTTAATAGTTCTAAGTTAAGTTCTTAAGTTCCCCATAAGTCCGTTTAAGTGAAATTTGTGAGAGCATTAGGATTTGTTCACACTGTACTTACTGAAAAACTTTTACTCCTTATATCATAAAGAAAATGATAAAAAGGTATATACATTTAAACCAATTTTTATCCCAGTTTCTGTAACTTTGGGGATTAAAATGTACCAGTAATTGAATTTTTTCATTCGTTCACTCATTGCTGTAAAATTGTACCTACACGAGAAATTTTAGTTTGATTCCTACCGGCATTACTAAAGATTTCTCATGAAATTTTTAAGGATAGATTTATTGCGTACTCACCGGTGAAGATAACGTCGCGAGGAAACTATTTTATGCATTCTCGTAATTCCTAAACTCGAACCCATGTAGTAAAGATACGCGTATTTTCGCTAAATTCAGCTATTAAGATAGAATATCTTGTTTCTAGTAAAAAGAGAAACGAAACACATCATTACTTTTCCGTTTCACGCCAGTATTTTGTGAGAGCTTAGTGTTTCTTTGAAAAAGTTTGCCTATTAATATTCAAAGCTATTCGTACCACAACCATAGTACAGTTGCAGTTCACTCTACCGTTTTCATTTTCACGTTCGATGCATTCCAGTTTAGTCTTCAGGAGTATTAACGTATTTGAATTTTGATTTATAATTAATAATAGCTTTAAGTATGGGTCACTGCTATACTTTCAATCAGTCTACTTATAACCAGCTGTACTATGTGGACATTCGCCACTTAATCTTTAATAATAAAAAAATCAATACCCTAATAATTTAGGTAGGTACATGAAATTTTTTTGTACTTATTATAAGCCGGTGCTTGAATACAATCCCACCTGGTGATAAGCGGCAATAAAGTTCCAGATGGTAAATCGCCATACTTAGCAGTTCTTGTTTTGAATACATACACCCATATTGTATTCGGATAGAAAGACAGAAGCCAGCAAATTATTGCATAGAATGAATTCATGTAATTCTTACGCACACTTTCCATAAGGGGATAAAGCCTTAGATAATCGAGAGGCTCGCTACTCTCAATCTGTGCTACACAAGTTTGGTTCGACAAAATTAGGGTTGCCAATATGCCATTTTGCCTGCCTCTTCAGAGAGTACAAAGCTGCTTCGTGGTATTTTGCAGCTCCAGCTCTTATCAAACAATAGTACTCTATGCACTAACGGGACAAGCGATCTTGTAGGATAAGAAGGAATACCACCCACTGTACCAAGGGTCTAGCATTCTTTCATCTTTTTTGCCGTTCGATATGAACTGAACAAAGTCTCTCCGGGTAGAAAGAAATACATAGGCCTTTTAAGGCATGCGCTCGCTATCATCTATTTTCTAAAATATTTATTTAAGTATTTTAAAACACACTACGCCTTACCGTATAAGGTAACGTTGATTTTGTTGTATTTGTGCGCTGGTTATGCTGCTACGTACTATAAATAAAAATTTAAGAAAGATACTTAATAGAATCAAATGTTACTTTACCAAAATACATTATGTTCTATTTTATTTAATAATAAATTAGAATTCACTTAACGGTCAGTCAC